TTAAAGGCGTGCGCCACCATCCTGGGCTTAGAGATCATTACTATTTATTTGTGTTTTTGAGACAGGGACTCATTATGTAGCTCTGGCTGCCTTGGAACTTGCCATGCTGTTGTGGAATATTATTTTAAGGTGTGTTACTTTTGTTTCTGCTGCATTTGTTGAACTCTGTGAAGCTGTGTTCCTGTGCCTGTCTAAAACACCTGATGATCTAATAAAGAACTGAACGGCCAACAGCAAGGCAGGAGAAAGGTTAGGCGGGGCTGGCAGGCAGAGAGAATATATAGGAGAAATCTGGGAGGAAAAGAAGTAGCCAGAGAAGGAGAAGGACTTCAGAGGCCAGCTACTCAGCTACACAGCCACCCGGCCACCCGGCCACCCGGCCACCCAGCCACCCAGCCACCCAGCCACACAGCCACACAGCCACACAGCCACACAGCCACACAGCCACACAGCAAGCCACGGAAAGCTGGCAAGAAATAAATCGAGCTAAGGCCGGGCAATCATAATTAAGACTAAGCCTCCATGTGTGATTTATTTGGGAGGTTGGTGGTGGGGCCCCCCCAAAAGAGAGAAAACCCCAACGACACTATCTAAACTGGGCTGGCCTCAAATTCCCGTTCTGCCTCTGCCTCCTGAGTGCTAAGGGTAAAAGCGTGAGCCACCACAACCATCTTGGGCCTAGAGATTTTTATTTTTAATTGTGTGTGTGTGTGTGTGTGTACGCGCACGCTCAAGGGCAGTACCTGTGAAGGTCAGTGTCACCTGGAGCTGGAGTCACAGGTGTTTGTGAGCCCCCTGAAATGGGTGCTGGGAACCAAACTTGGAACCTCCCAAAGAGCAGCCCATGTGCCTAACCATTGAGCTATACCGCCAGCTCCCAGGCTTACTTTTTAATTTTAAAGATTTTGATTTGCATTGGTGTTTTGCCTGCATTTATTATGTCTGTGTGAGGGTGCCAGGTCCCCTGTCAACTGGCATTGCAGACAGTTGTGAGCTGCCACGTGGGTGCTGGGAATTGAACCCGGCTCCTCTGGGAGAGCAGCCAGTGCTCTTAACCACTGAGCCATCTCTCTGGCCCCTTAATTTTCAGTTAATATTTTTCATAGTCTTTAAGACAGGGTCTATATAGCCCTGGCTAGCCTGAATTCCACATGTAGGCCAGGCTGGCCTCGATTCTCCTGCCTCTGCCCCTGAGTGATGGGACTAAAGGCATGTGCCACATCTGGCTATTGTTTTATTTTGGGGACAGGGTGGGCCAAAATTCACTGCATAGTGAAAACACCTTAAATTCCTGCTCCCCTTGTCTCTAACTCCCGAATTTTTGGATTGGGGGATTACATACCAGTCTCTCTGTAACTGAGGCAAGTGTAATTGAGTTGTAATGACTCAAATGGCTAGAAGGGCCCAGAATTTCGGGGTAACTGGAGAGTTGGGAAAGAACTAAGAATAAAAAGATTTTTTTTTTTTTTTATTTAAAGATGTATTTATATGCTGGGCCGTGGTGGCACACACCTTTGATCACAGCACTGGGGAGGCAGAGGCAGCCAGATCTCTGTGAGTTCAAGGCCAGCCTGGTCTACAGAGCGAGTTCCAGGGCAGCCCGGGCTACACAGAGAACCCTGTCTCCAAAAACAAAGAAAGATGTCTTTTTATGCGTCTGGGTGTTTCGGCTGCATGCATGCCTGGGTTTACCGAAAGAGGGTGTCAGATCCGCGGGTGTGACTCCCTGTGCATGGTGAGAGTCAAACCCAGGGCCTCTGCAAGAACAAGAGCTCTTAACCACCCCCGAGCCCCTTCTCCGTTCTAAAACTAAGATTTTTTTAGTTTTAGAGCCTGTCCTGTATCTCGCTCTGCAGACCAGGCTGGCCTTGAACTTGCAGAGATCTGCCGGCCTCTGCCTCCCGAGTGCTGGGATTAAAGGCGTGCGCCACCACGCCCGGCTAGAACTAAGATTTTATTTTTTAAGTTAGTATGGGTCATTACTTTACACCTATCTAGCTGATTTCTCATCATAACACTGCAAAAGAAAAACAAAACAAAACAAAACCCACTGACCGTTGTTTTTAAAATTTCATTTTGAGACAAGGGTTTACGTTTCCAGGCCTGTTTTGAACTTCCTAGGTAGCTGAAGATGACCTCCTGTGCCCCTCTCCCTAGGGCTTCATGCGTGTTAGGCAAGCGTGACTTCACAACTGAGCTGCAGCCTCAGTCCTGGTCTTGCCCTTTTAAGAGATGCTTAGAAACTGGGTTTAGAGGACTTCCGGTGAGTGGTGGCGCACACCTTCAATCCCAGCACTCGGGAGGCAGAGGCAGGTGGATCTCTGTGCGTTCGAGGCCAGCCTGGGCTACAGAGCGAGATCGAGGACAGCCAGGGCTACACAGAGAAACCCTGTCTCGGAAAACCAAACAATAACCAAAAAGTGGGTTTAGAAAAGACTCGATCCATATGCTGAAGTCACAAGAGCCGGGCCCCCAAATCTGACTCCCACACTGAGTAAGAACCAAGTGCTCCTCTCGCTCCAGTCCCCCTCTCTCTCTCTGCCCGCCGGAGCCAAGAGATAATGAATTTTACAAAAGCGAGGTCCGGGGGACTGAGACTGAACATTTTTGGGGCACCCCCCCCACCCCGCCCCGCGCGAGCAGCTAGGCCCATGTCCTTTCGGGCTTTGGGGTTTGACCTTCCACCGCACAGGCCAACGGAGGTGCGGGGAGAAATCGCCATCTGCAGAGGGGACCACGGTGGGGGGAAACTGAGGCAGAGCTGTCACAAAGCACGAGTCGGGTGGGTGGGTGGGTGGGGGGAGCTCTTCTCAGCCCGGGGGCCAGGTGGGACTCCTTTCTGCCTTCCGGGGCTTTTGAACACCCCCAACCCCACCACTCCACCCCGAGGTCAATGCCGGCCGGCCGAGGCGGAGGAGGCGGCGGCGGCGGCGGGCCAGGTGCACGCGGGAGGCCCAGGTGGGAACTCGCGGCGCAATGGCAAACTTGAGCGGCCGCGGCCGCGATCCCCGGGGCGAGCGGGCGAGCAGGAGGCCGGAGGGAGAAGAGAGAGGCCGCCGAGAGGGGG